CAGGCGCGCACCAGCACAGCCCGCCCCCCCGCCCGCCTCCACTCCCACGTGGCGGTTGCCCTCCGCCAGGCAGAGGGCTAACAGAATTTTCGTTGCCGCTTTAGCCCCCGCTTTGTTTTTCAAATTTCGCACCAACCCGCGCATCAATTCGGGTGGGCAAACCGGGTCAGGTGGTGGGTAGGGGACGAGGGAGCGTTCTAAGAGTTGGAGAGCCGCCAGCTGCTCGGGGTGTGACCCGACGCTGAGCTGGAGCTCTGCTGCGTGGAAGAGTTCTTGGAGGTTGGTGGAAGAGATGGGTGGTGGTGGTGGTGGTTTTGATTTGGGTTCGGGTTTCGGGTCAGGTTCGGGTTGTGGGTATGGGAGGATGGGCGAATCAGGGAGAGCGAATTTCCACTGGGTGAAGCTTTGGGAAGTTGAGGAGGAAGAGGACTCGGATTCAGGCTTGGAGGGATGGTGGGTTGGCGGGTCGGGTTGTGTTGGAGCGGGAGGTGATGAATCTAATGACAGTGAAGGTGGTAATGAGTCGGTGGATGAGAAGGGGAGAGGTGGAGGGTGAGGGGTTGTGGGGCTGAGGACGGTCCGGGTGCAATGGCGGAAGAACCCGCAGGAGAAGAGCTGGGTTTTGATCTTGGGATGCTGGGCTTTCATGGGTTCTGACTGTTTTGGTGATTGGAGAGAGAGAGAGAGAGAGAGAGAGAGAGAGAGGTGGTGAATGCTTTGGTTGATTCAGAGAGAGGAGGAAGGTGATGAAAGTTGTAAGGATGTGGCCATGTGAGTTGTGGGGAGTGTAATACAGAAGTTCCAATATGTGTCAGTTTCCACTTTCACAGAAAAAGATTTTTAAAATAAATTTTAAAAAAATGTCGTGGCATTTCTTCTAGCCATTTGAAGGAAAGAAATGCTCATAATAATTAAAAAAATAAAAAGAGGTGCCATTTACTATTCATTTACATGAAATTATTTATATAAAAATAAAAAAATAAAAACTTTTTTACTTGCTGCTACACAGAGCAATCACCGGCATGGTACAACAGATACAGAACAGAGAGTAATTTAAAAACTTCTAGGACCAGTGCAGCTCAATCATGGACTGGCTAATCCAGTACACAGAGCAGGAAAAAAAAATCTGTATGGCCAAATATCAAATCTGCAGACACAATTTGGATCTAAAAGGCGCGAAAGAGTTCACTATTTTCTTGCACTTCAAATGTACAACTTGAAGACTAAAGTTGGATTGTCAACACAACTAAACAATATAGAAATTTTACAACAAAAAAATGCCTCTAAAGGAAGGCATGCTAAAAAAATTACAAGAAGTTAAACTAAGGGCAAAAAAACAAAAATGTCAGGATGCGAAAGACTAGCGGAGGTGTTACCTCCACTTCTCTCGTAGTTCTTTCTTCTCTGACAAAATCCAGGTTACAAAGATTGCTGCTATGAGTGCAACAATGGTGATGAGAAGCAATGCATAGCTGAAATCATCTGTTAGCGAATCGTAGGTCCTCGAAGGTGCGAGTTGAGTGAAAAACAGATCCACTCCATATGCAAACGCAAGGGTTGTTGACTCCAGCTTGGCCGGTACTGTCACTATGCCTCGAAGTCCTTCCACTTTGAGGGCATGCGTCACGTAGGACTGCATGAGCAAAATTTGTATAATTATAAGATGTTATGACCAAATCTTCATGAAAAAAAGAGCTATACTGCTGTCTCATTCATATAGCCTAACTATTTAAAATCTTTAAACACCTCAACTATTTTTTTATTTCACTGCAATTAACCACAGAACCAAGAATGTGATATCCAAACACCACATAAAGTTATACATTAAGCCAAGTGACTCACATACAAGAGCATTGCTTCTTTGAAAACCGAACTTGCAAAATTTAGAATAACAGTAATTATAGTGACTATAATAAAAAGAGAAATATGAAACTAAACAACCATAGCTTATATTCAGTCTACTTAAACCTCACAAACTTGAGTGCAATGACTACGTTGCTAGTGAGCAGATTTTTGTGACCATACAGTAAGATTGAAGGTACTGCTGACAATTAAGAGGATCTAAGGGAATATTAAGAAGTGCTTTCTCAAAAAATAAACTCCCAAAATGAAGATGGCAGAGTGGCATACCTGAGGAATTATTGGCAATGAATCTGTTAGAGGAATAATGCCTTCCTCTTTCTCAGCTGTTGTGGGGTTGACTGATCTACGGGGATCCAGAAAACGCTTGTCAAGTGCCAAAACCTACAAAGTGTTTACTCTCATTAAGGACATACATAAAAACAAATCCAATTAATTACATGTGAACTGTTGCCCCTAAAAAAGAGGAATAGAGTCTCAAAGAACAAAACAAAGTAAAAAACTCAGGACCCTCGGAGGTTATCCTACCTGATCACCAATTGTACCAATAAGAACCTGCTTTGAAGTTATACCCTTTGCTGTTAACGTCACAGCTAGAGCTTTTACAGAATACGTGAAGAAGTAAGACTGTGATTTCGTCACAACCTCTGGTCGAGAATATGAAGAAATAGGCGAAGTAAGATTATGCTTTCCCAGAACAAGCTTCCAAACATCCTTATTATCCTGTTAATTGTATTTTGATTCAGCTTGCATTATTTTGGGAACCAACAGACTCAATAATACACAAAATATTTAAGTTGTGATTTAGCATACCGCTCGGGACTGATCGTATATCTCAATGACTGACATCTCATATCTGTGTGCTCTAAGATTAAAGTAGTGGTAAACAACCCAATTCTCACTAAAAACCTGCAAGATGTATAAAGTTGTTAAGAGAACATCTCTCATTCACACAACCGCAAACAAAGCAGAAGGAAAACTTACAGCATGCACAGGCCCCTGTGAGCCATGGTGGGTCATACGATGCAATATACGACCAGTTACAGTATCAATAAGATATACAGTCAACCAGGACTCCTCTGGGGTTGCTGTTCCAATTGGACCACTACCTTTTGGTGCAACAGTTGCCACAAAGAGTAGATTTTTAGATATATACTTAAACATCACATCTTCATCTGCAATAGCCTTTGCTTGAGTATGAACAACCTAGAGAAACACAAACCTCTGTCACAAAAATATATAGAGCAAAGCATTTTCAGAGACTAAAAGACTAGCATTCTTCTTTTTTGAAAAGTAAATCCATTTGATTAGAAGAGGCAAGGGGACACAGCCCAAGCACACAAGGATAAAACGCAAAAAATAATAATAATAATTCAAGTGGGGAGGAAAAAAAAAGTGCCCGAAGAAATAACAAGCTCAGTACTCCACTCCCTCAAATGACCCACTATTCCTTTCTGACCAAATACACCAAAAAACACACAAAGGAGTAGTACCCCCCAAACCACCCCAATCCTCTTTCCAATACCGGTCATGGAGGCCTGGAAGGCCAAACTTGATTTAAAAAGATCTGTGAAATGATAGAAGCTACATGGCAAAGTTTAGAGGGAATGATCAAACTAACCAAAAAAAAAAAATTACAGAGACCCAATAATATCATAAAACAAAGAAAGTGAAGAAATTAAAAGCTACAATAGATTCAAGAAAAGGAAAAATTGCAAACTTTTCAAGGACAATATGTTCGCCAAACCCATATATTAAGTGGCAGCAAGAGAAAACCATACCTCACTCAATTTTCTTGTCACAGTTGCAATGATCCTTTCTGAGTCAGATGGGAATACAATTGACCATATATCCTTGGACTCAAAGCAGTAGTTATCTATGACTTCCTGGATGCAATTGCTCTTCAAGACATGTCCTTTGATAATGCCATTGTCAGCCTCAACTGAGTACCAGTATATGTTTGTAAGCTCACGTTGAAAAATATCAATAGCCTCAGATGTTCTTGGGTATAGATGCCCGTGCTGGTTTACATCTATTAGTAGATGAAGACGCTGTTCTGTTGAATCAGTAAATGGCAGTGGTATAACTTGCGCAATAGAATGTATGGCAGCCATGGAATTAATTTCCTTGCCAGTGTATGCATCAACAATAGAAAGAACACCTGGTGCGTCAGAATTTTTCCCACATCGACCTACTACAAGGACAGATGGATTTTCATCCAGCGCATGATGATGGGGTACCTGCCACTGATAAATATTCAACCCAGTCGGATACTCACACGTTTCAGAGCTACGCAGAGTAGGTAGTAAGAGAGACCAGACAACTTGTCCATATCCAGTGTGCAAGGCAAAAAGTTTTCCTGCTCTCGTAAGCACTATGAGCAGCTTCCGGAAACCATTATGGTCACGGGTCATTTTGCTCTTTTCAAAACTTTTCAACCTCATCTCTTGTATAGCTGCAACATCTTCAGCACTTGCAAGCATTAAGGTTCCCTTAAGCTTCAGTATGTGTCCCTTCAAAATAACACAAAGTCAAATGAGAAATGAAAAAACCTGTGAGAGGGGTATATATATATATTCCGTATTTAAAACCCTGGTCCAAAATGACTACAGAAGTATGCAAAACATCAAAGGAGCATATGCACACGCGCGCGCGCACACACACACAGTGCATGCCAGACTGCACTGCTATGAAATTCTATAGAGTAGGATGACAATGCCATTACATTATGGTGAAACTTGCGGAAAATTGACACCTTTTAACCTTGATTTTAAGTTTCCACTCTATTAAAACACATCATAGTTCATACCTTAAGCCACTCAAAGAGGTTCTGCTCCACTTTTGCCACAGATACACCTTCCTTTTCCACAGGTAGTTCTGATGTTACCACATCAACAATTGAGGCAAGCCCATCCTCCCTACTCCAGACAACAGCACCTTGTTGTAACAATAAAAGTGAATGATCCTCCATCACAATTAGGGCCCTAAACCCATGAGACCTGTCTGTCCGGATATAATTGTTAATGAAAATCTTATGGACAGTCCCCCTCTGATTGTCCATATCAATACTCTCTTTCAGCAAATCACCACTCAGGTCATGGCTAGGCTTCACTGTGAGATGGATCTTACCGTCTCCATGTTGAATTAGTGCAAAAGCTTGTTGGCCCTCTGAAAGTGAGATTGCATCACTAATAGCCGCCACATTGTTTATTTTATCCAGTACCTGTAATTTTCCTTCACCAGTCACTCTTATGAATACCACTGCTCCATCTATTTTCACAGAAAACACTCCAGGAAGTTTTGAAGGTAATAGCACTGGTGTTCCAAAAGAATCCCTAAAGATATCAGATATGTGTGTCTGTTGATAGTTAATTTCTCCATCCTGAAAGCTTATAATTACCAACTTTGTTCTTGTGGAATCCAATGTCACAAGAATTTCACTTGAAACTACTAGCGCTTCACCGGAAAAGCCACCCGAAAATGTTGCACTGTTGTGTTTCAGCAACTCTCCATTCCTAGCATTGATCTTATATGCATCAAACTGGGAAGAACCAAAAAATCCTAGTACATAAATTATATCAGTGCCAAGAGGCTGAATAATCTGTTGAACCTCTACACTGAAAACATGGAAACAAAACAAATATTAATGAAACAGAATTGTTTAAAAATAAAAAAATGAAACATAATATTATTATTACAAATAATTATTTTAAGCATAAAATTCTAAATCTGCATACCTTTCTGGTGCAATTTCCTTTTTCCAAAGAACCTCACCGTCAATGCTAGAAATAGCATGTAGAGACCCTTTACCAAAAACAAGGATCAAATTGTCCTTGTCGACTTTCAAGTTTGTCTGCACAAGATAACAATAATGAACCACATATTCAAAAAAATATATACAAAAACTGAATTGTGTATAGCCCCC